ATGATTAATCAACCTCTCATAATTACAAAAAAAATGAAAAACTATGATTAGTTGAATGAGGTTTGTACAATTTGTACAAATAACATGGTTTGCAAAGTAAACATTCTCTCTCTCTCTCTCTCTCTCTTTCCACACACACACACACACACACACACACACATATATATATATATATATATATTGTTATAAAACAAAATTTCAATAGCAAACAATCTTTGAAAACATGAGACACAACGATAACCTCTCTGGTTAACACACAAATTCACAACATCACAAAACTGGTGTTGTGATTCAAATCAGAAAGCAAAAATTAGTAGGAACACAAAAATTTACGTGGTTCGTCCTTAGCCTACATCCACCAAGAAGCATGGACAAATTCACTATCAAATTGTGGAGATTACAAAGGTTCACACACTCCTTACACCATAATTTGCTCTAACTTTTTCTCAGAAAAAAGCACACGTCCTTTTTCTTTTCTTTTGTAAGTGTGTTGTAGTTACTTACTGATGTCCTATTAATTAGCAATTAATTATTGCTTTTAATAATAAAGCCAAATGAGAAATAGAGCCATAATACAACAATCCCCACCATGGCGAGATTTCTACGAACCACATGTGAACCATATCTGTAAGAATCTGCCTACATATTCCAAAGTATCTCCACTTGGGCAAGATGTCTTTCAACAATGTGTGAATCAATACAGAAAGTTAAAGCTTACAAACACAGTAAGCTAAAGCTTCATTCCAACAACTAAATCTCCACTTTCCAACAATCCAAAAGAACCCAAAAATCAAATTCCATGTTGCTCGAACCAAAACAATCAAACCGGTACAATATTAGCCAATTTTTTACAATGCTCAAACTTGGCTACAACCACCACTTTTGTCAACATATATGTTGGATTATCTCTGGTTGGAACTTTCTTCAAATTAATTGGCTTCCTATCTAGAACCTGTCTCACAAAATGAAATTTTACATTTATGTGTTTGGTTCTAGAATGATAAACCTGGTGTTTAGCCAAATTTATTGCACTTTGGCTATCACAATGAAGCTCCACCTAATTTTGAACAATGCCCAATTCTAAAATGAGCCCTTGCAGCCATAAAGCTTCTTTAATAGCTTCTGTGGCAGCCATATATTCTGTCTCTATGTCAGATAACACTATTGTAGTTTTCAAAGTAGATCTCTAACTAATCGGTCCTCGTGACATGGTAAATAAATACCCTGTTGTAGATCTACTCTTATCTAAGTCACCGACAAAGTCAGAATCAACATATCCAGCAACAAAAAATTTCATTTCACATTCTTGTTTCTGAAAACATAAACCAACATCCCTTGTTCCATGTAAATACCTCAATATCCATCTTGCAGCTGTCCATTGATCCTTACCAGTATTGTGCATATATCGACTCACAACATTGATAGCTTGTGTGATATCCAGGCGAGAACAAACCATGATATACATTAAGCCGCCAACATGATTAGCAAATGGTATACCAAACATTTCTTTCCTTCCTACTTCTAATGTAGGACCAGATTTTGCACTAATTTTAAAATGCGCAGCAAGAGGGGTACTTACAGATTTTGTTGCAGCACCAACATTAAACTGTAGAAACAACTTTTTCGAGTATTGCTTTTGAGTCAGATACACGACACCTTTCTCTCTGTTTCTAGTTATTTAAATCCCAAGAATCTTTTTGGCCTCACCAAGATCCTTTATCTCAAAATGATTCTTCATTTGATCTTTCAACTCTTCATTCTTTTTCATACTCTTTTAAACAATTAACAAATCATCTACATAGAGCAACAAATAGATGAAACTTCCATCTTGCAACTTTTTGAAATAAACACAATGATCATAGTCACTTCTCAAATGTCCAATACCTCTCATGAAACCATCAAATTTCAAATACCACTACCTTGGTGACTCGTTTAAACCATAAAGCGACTTTTGTAGTTTACAGACCAAGTTTTTTTTTTCCTTTCACCTTATATCCATTGGGTTGAAACATGTACATCTCCTCATTCAAATTATCATGTAGAAAGGCTGTTTTAACGTCTAATTACACCAACTCAAAGTCGAATTCTGCAACTAAAGCTAACAAAATACGTAAAGAGTAATGCTTTACAACTGGCGAAAAAATCATTATAATCAACACCTTCCTTTTGAGCATATCCCTTCACAACTAACCTTGCTTTGTATCTTATTTTGTTTTCATTTGGAACTTCCTTTTTGGCAAATACCCATTTATAGCCTATTGCTTTCTTCCCTTCATGTAGATGAACCAAAGTCCATGTTCTGTTTTTTAAAAGAGAGTCCATCTCTTCATTCATAAAACTCTTCCATTCCTTATTCTCAAAACTCTCACTTACTCACTAAAATTCAAAGGAATTTTTGAATTCACAGTAGGAAATGAAAATGCAACATAATTTGTGTACCTTGCTGGTTTTCGAATGGTTCTTCTTCCTTTCCCTTTTGCAATAGAATAAGATGGATCAACAGCCTCCTCCTCATCTGTTTGTACACCTTCATTCTCATCACTAAGTGTAGACTCTTTATTATCATTTAGATAATCTTCAACTCTATACTGAACTGGTTGTTGAGGAATCGAATTTTCCTGTTGTGGTGAACTCACAGTCCGTCTTTCACACTCCACCTGATGCAAATCTTTACCGTTTGACTCATTATCAAATTTTTGATTCTTTTCTTTCAACATACTCATCTCATTAAAAGTTACATTTTTACTAAAAACCAATTTCTTCAACTCAGGGCACCACAACCTATATCCTTTCACACTTGTACTGAAACCAACAAATATAGCCTTTTTAGCTCTCGCATCAAGTTTAGATTCAGTAACATGAAAATATGCAAGACAACCAAAAACACGTAAATTATCATAATCAAAAGCAGGTTTTTCGGTCCATACCTCAATTGGTGTCTTCCCAATTATTGTTGTAGATGGCAATCGATTAACGATGTGGCTTGCGTAAATGATTGCTTCTGCCTAAAACGACTTATCCAAACCTGCATGTAGTAGCATAGACCTCACTTTTTTCAACAAGGTTTTATTTAATCTTTCAGCAACCCCATTTTGTTGTGGGTTTCTTGGAACGATAAAATGTCTCACTATTCCTTCTTTTCTACATGCCTCATTGAAAGGATCAGAAGTATATTCACCACCATTATATGTTCTTAGAACTTTTATCTTCCTTCCAGTTTGGTTCTCTATCATATTCTTCCATGCCAATAAAATACTCAACACCTCATCTTTATGCTTCATTGTATAAACCCAAGACCTTCTGGAATAATCATCAATAAAGCTTACAAAATAATGTTTACCACCCTTTTAAGTTGTTTTCATTGGACCCCAGACATCTGAGTGAACATATTCAATGATGCCCTTGGTTTGGTGTGTTGTTGTAGCAAACTTCACTTTTGTTTGCTTGCCAAAAACACATTGCTCACAAAAGTCTATCTTACCGGTTTTGACACCCTTTTACAACCCTTGTTTTGCCAATCCTTGTAAAGCATTTTCTCCGGCATGACGAAGCCTCAAATGCCACAACTTTGAGGCATCAAAATCAACAAATTTATTACAAACAGTAGCTTCTGAAACCATTTTTGCAGCACCTATAATGGTCTATCCCTGCATCACATACAAATAATGCTCTCGTACTGACTTCATCTCAACTAATACCCCTCTTTTTACCTTCATAAAACCATTTGATGGAGAGTAGTTATAGCCATCAGCCTCCAATGCTCCCAAAGAAATCAAACTATTCTTCAATTTAGGAACGTATCAAACAATTTTGAACTCTCTAACCACCCCCATCATGATGCCTGAACTTCACAGTCCCAACTCCTTATTTCTCTAGATTGTAATCATCTCCAATCAAGACTACAACATTACTCTTCAAATCCAAACTAGAGAACTAATCCTTATTTAGACACATGTGTTGAGAAGCCACGGTATCCATCAACCATACATTAGAGAAAGTATTCGATGTTGTTGCTAATACAAATTCTGACCCAGCCTCATCTTCTCCACATGTGACATTAGTCTGAGTGCCTTATTCTTATTTTTCAGTTTTGGACGATCCTTTTTTCAATGTCCAATCTCATGACTGAAGGCACACTCATTTCTTCCTAAACTTCGTCTTAGCTTTAGAGTTTTCTCTACTACGGGAAAGAAATTTTCTTCTATAATCGTGACTTTTTCTCTCAAATGTTCTTCTATGAACAACCAAAACATCAGATGTGGAAGCATTTATTTGCTTATCAACATGTCTAATCTCATAACTCAAGAAAGCATTTGAAACTTCTTCAAAATCAATAGTTATTTTTCCATGTAACAAAGTCGTCGTCAAATGAGCATAAGAATCTGGCAGAAAATTCAACAAAATCAAAGTTTTGTCTTCATCTTGATTTCTTCATCCAAGTTCAGTAAATCAGAAACTAACTAAATAAACACATCATGGTTAGCAATCATTTTCGTACCTTCTTTATATTTGAAATAAAAAAACCTCTTCTTCTTATAAAAACGATTCTCAACATACGGGAATATAGAAAGCACACATCAAAAAGATGCCCATTGGACCCCGCAAGGGGGCACGACCCCCATGACCCCGCCTTTTGGTCGTACCAGGATCAATCTAATCTTATACAAGTGCGCCTCTCACGCCTCCTAACTTGCATAAAAAACTAAGTAAAAATCCCATTTATCTCTCGTATATTTACCTATTACACCAAATGAAACCGGTGACACTAAATCACCATGGCAATCATCAAGAGAATGTGCAGCACCAGCATCAAACAAGTTATAAAGACTAGATCACATGGTCACAACGTCACCCTTGCTTTCCTTGTTTACCACCATCAATTAATTCCAATACCAACTCACATCCATCCATACCTACTATTACAAACAATTTATTTATATTATTTTTGTTTTGTAAAACTATTAGAAACCCATCATCCACTTGAAAAATAAAATTGTTGGCTAATGAAACAAAACGGGAGAGTTGGTACTACTTTTTGAAGCAGGAACCATCTTTTGGATCTGAGAAGAATTGACTGCTACATGAGGTGAATCAGATTGAAAGTTTTTAGGTACATCAATATCTCTCTCGACTCCACCAGGCATCATTAGCATTCTTGGATGAGGAAGAAGTGCTCTAGAGACATCTCCCCACCAATCAGGATTGCTAGTATACCATTTTATGGTCTTTTTGAGACCCTCTTCCCATGTGGTCCTTTCAAACCAACCCAAGCTCCTCAGTTTCTCATCATCTAAGAAGTACCTCTGATCATTAAATGGCCTGTTATCCACAAATTTGATGCTTGCTTCAGGATCCATCTTGAAAAGGTTGCATATATCTTTGGCGACATCAATAACTCGTCTTTCCTTCTTAGTTCCTATGTTGTAAACATGACCAACTTCTCCCTTATGGAGAATGACTTCAAAAGCCTCAGCAATGTCTTCACTATAGATATAACTCCTCACATTAGAACCATCACCGTGGATCGGAAGTGGCTTGCCTCTCATGGCCAAGAGAATGAACTTAGGGATTAGTTTTTCTGGGAACTGATTAGGGCCATAAACATTGCTTCCTCTGGTGGTAATTACAGGTAAGCCATATGACCGACAATAAGCCATAACAAGCATTTCTGCCCCAGCTTTTGTGGCCGAATATGGGTTTGTAGGAAGAAGTTGTGAGGCTTCATGGTTACCCACAACAACATCCTCCTCTGTTTCCCCATACACCGCATCCGTGCTCACATGGATGAACCTTCTAATCTGGCGAGTGACTTTACATGCCTCTAAAAGCACATGGGTGCCATAAATGTTGTTCTTTGTGAATTCAAAGCTGTTTCCAAATGAATTATCAACATGAGTCTGAGCAGCAAAGTGCATTATGGTGTCAATGGATTCGGTAATCAGGATAGACTTAAGCGTTTCAGCACTCCCAATGTCCCCCTTAACAAACTTGAAGTTCGGAGAAGATCTAAAGGGGTTAAGATTCTTAAGATTTGAGCAATAATCAAGCTTGTCAAGCACAACAATCTTGTAATCTGGGTAGCTTCTGATAAGCCTATTAGCGACATGAGATGCAATAAAGCCAGCAGCCCCAGTGATGAGAATGTTCTTTGGTGTAAATGTAGTCATACCGAAGCAATCTGAACATAAATAAGACCAAATGTAACTCAAGATCGACATGCTAAATCCTTTGATAAATTTGACAACTTAATGTACTTATTAAGCAGCTTCACTTCAAATATAAAAATCAACATTATCTTTTGGCAAATCGTACATCAAAAGGAATTTTACTGGAATGAAGCATGAAAAACAGCATATGGTCAAAGCAAGCTAATTAATGAATATTGATTCCCTAGAAAGCAAAAGAAATACTATAAGCAGAAAAAGTAGAGAGCTTGAAATCACTAATCAAGCTAGCACAGTAGCAACTAAAGCCAAAAGCACAATAATCAACTCATCAGGACAAAATTCACGTTAAAATCATACGTTAAACCTAAAACATTTCCAGTTAAATGGATCTAGATCAGATTAAGCATCCATCTATTCATTATTAGCGAAGTTCATACAAGTTTGGTACGATCCATCTCAAGCTAAAAACACACATTAAATCAGATCTAATCAACATGACAAAAATGTCTGCATCGCACAATTGGTATTAGAATTCACTCAATCTGAAAACCATCAAGAGCTTGACTGAATTCAACTTAACAAGAATACAAGGGTTTGAGCAATATGAACTTACATAAATTTGATTCAGATCCAAATCCGTATCAGGATGAATATAAATTTGAGGGCGAGAGAGGAGTGAGAAATAGATTTCCACCAAGATTATAATGTCGAAATATCTGCAAGACACACTGAGTGGTAAGCTATGGTTGTATCAATATATAGAGAGAAACACACACACACTATATATATATAGAGAGAGAGAGACATATTATGTGTGTATATATAATCCAGCGGAGTTATGATGACAACGAATTATGATGATGAATTGGATTGTGACACCTCCACCCCTCTCCCTTTACTGTTTTTCCGTACTCATCAACCCCACACCTTCTTGCATTACTTTTCGCATGATTTCCTTCACATTTCCACAATTTTTTATTATCGGCAAATGTTATATGAATTTTTTTATGTCAGAATCAGATTAAATTATGTATTAAAACTATAAAAGGTGATCTTTTATTTTGATGTATGTGATGAGAAAATTACTAGATAGAGGTGCACACTTGGAATTATTTGATACCAACCTATTTTCGTGAGACCCATGAGACCACCCAAATAACATTAAATTTCCATAACAAAACTCTGTACAGGTAAACCTTCTAGTGTTTTTGTTGTAAAAGATCAATGGTTTTTTGTATCTTCACAATGTTTTGCTGTGAAGATTCAATATAATTTTTTGGTCTTGCAAAAACGAGTAGGTCTCCCTAAAACACAACCCAATTAATGATGCATTTAACAATATATAGTGGTGCATTTAACAATATATAGTGGTGCATTTAACTTACCTCTATTTATAGTACAATTTTTTTAAGGAGATTAGAACATCTGCAATAAAGATATTTAACACATTTTTGTAAAATGTTTTATAAGAGTCTATGTTGTTTCTTAGGTTCTTGTTCACTTATACCTTCTTAATAAGAACTTTGTTTCTTATAATGAGGTTCTTACACTGACCTCCAATGTAGATGTTCAAAATGTACCTTTATGATTTGTTAAGTTTACACTTACCTATTAATTTCCTTTTCACATACATGAACATCAAAACTTACATTTAATATTTTTTTTATGTATGATTCAATTTGATTTTAATATAAGTGTACATGTTATATCAGATTTTAAAATATAATTTCAGATTTTTATATTATAATTTTTCAAAAAGAAGGTTCAAAAAACCCTAAAAGGATGGTTGCAGATTTACCGTGCCTTCCAGGAGGCCTTTGCCCTCCGCAAGTCCGTCTTCCCAAAATTCGCCGGACTATCACTTCGGATACGTAGTCTGAAAGACGTTTATAGTTTTAGTTGATAATTTATATTGCTTAAGTATTAAAGACGTTTTGTCGGTTTTTAATGGTAAAATCATCAATAAATGGGAATAAATTTTGTTTATGGTATTTCTTTTAATGTTTACGTTATAATCATTTTAGTAAAGTGGATGATTTCTTCTTTTGTTTATTCTTTTAACGATGGAAATTACGTGCATTGAAACCGAAATGTCATTGAATGCACAAATTGAGAAAAAAGTTGAAAAAGAAGGCTGAAAATTACTATAAAAATGTAAAAGTCTTTATTTTCTATTAAGAAACTTTCCATGTTGTTTTTTCCCTTTAATGGCAAATAAACTTTACATGTTATTTTCTTTTATGGTCAAATAAACTTTGGGTTCCTTATGAAAATAACCTCCCATAATTATCAATTTACACTTTTAGCTCTATTTTTAAAAAAAATTCACAAAATAACCATGAGTTACCCTGTTAGCATCGTTTGGTGCGTATATGTGTCTTTTTGCAATTAATGAAAGTTCTGATTTTTTATTTTAAAAAAAAATTATAGGGTGGGCCCCATATGATAACCTTTTTTAATTTGTTTTTAATATAATTTATTTTCAAAATATTTATTTTCTTAATCTTTTCTAAGAATTTATTTCTTTTTAAATATTTTTTTTTTCAACTTTACTTTTTTTTAAATTATAATTTTTACTTAAAAATATATTGTTTTACAAATTTAGTTTTTTTATTTAAATATCCAATTTTTTTTTTAATTTTGTTTTGTAAAATTCAGTTTTTATGTAAAGATTTTAATTTTTTTACAAACCACCCTAACCCAACTTCCCGCAACAATACTAGCCCTCAGCCTACTCCACCCCCACCTCCCTCTGCAGGCCCATCCTTCGATGCAGCCTTCTCCTCATTCACTGCAGAGGTGAGAAATCTCATCGCAACCTTCCCATTCCTCCATCTACATCCACCACCACCTCCGTGCCACCACAAGCTTCATCATCAAGCAGGAGTTCGCTACCAGAGCCGATCTAAAGGCTCTGTCCAAGGCATTTGTCTCATCCTTCAATGAGATAAGTGCAAAATCTATCCATCGCGTTATTCAACCGACCAGGGTTCTCTCCCAGAACCTTGCTGATGAACAAAGGCGCACCACCTCTCTCCTTCACACGATGGAGGAGAGCCGAAGACAAGCAGCCCTGAAGGCATATCTGCGTCCTTCAGGATGGAGAAAAAGAAGAAGAGGAGCAGAGCTTCATGCTCCAGCAGCCGCCCATAAAAGAGGCAACGCCATGAGGACCCAGACCCCGATGATCAAGGTCTTGGACCTCATGAGGGGGAGAACCAGGCTGCGGCTGCTCAACCGACAAAGTCCGCTCCATCATCACCACAACCCCAAACACAACAACAATCCCCATCAACCCAGGCAAGGGAACCAGAGGCTCAGCCCTCTGAAGATGTACAAAATGTACATGTTCCCCTTGCAGCCTCCCCTGAACCCATCGTGTTGAGTTCCTCAGCCGATGAAAATCCAACCACCCCACCAACAGAAACCACCCACCTTTTACTCCATCACCCACACCAAACCTACCACTAACCCCATCACCAACCCCTCGCAATACACAACCTTTCATCACCCAACCCGATGAACCTGAGCCAACCCAAGAAACCATCCTCTTGCCAACAGATACACACCCTCCAACGGATACACAACCCACTACCCATACACAACCCCCAACCGATATATAAACCACCACCCAAACACAACCCATTACCCAAACTAAACCCCCAATCGAACCAACAATGGTGCAAGCGGACATTCCCTCTTCATCAAGGCACCCTTCGCAGAGCCTAGTCGATGAAATAATCCAAAACATGGAGTCGCTGAGGAGACGTCCAGAGCTGCCACCCAGGGAACCTATAATGATGGAAAATATCCATCAATACTTGTATCACGACCGCGATGAAAGTTTGACCCTCAATCCTCCGGTTCTATCGCCAGAATCCATGGACCTTCTACACCATAGGTTTATTAGACAGACCACCCAAGCACCACAGGCTGTATTCTCAAACGATGGGATAAGGAGGGTTATGGACCTAAAAGTGAGGACCTTCGCCAACAGAGCCATAAGATACATCGAGTACACAGTGGAAAGAGCACATGGTCAAATCAGCTTGTTCAATGACAATGACCTGATCAACCTCAATCCCTATGACTTGATCGAACTTTATGCATACACGGCTCAACGACAGGATCATGGCATCAGATTTGGGATGGCGAACAGAGCGGTTGTGAAGACAATGGAGACCCTGGCAAAGCATCAAGCCAAGAGTGATTTTGAAATTGCTCTTCGCTTAGGCATCGAAAGACTCTCCTGCGCTCCACCAAATAAAGACTTCCCTGGCCTGCAGGAGAAAAGATCTGTCTCTGTCTTAACTCAACCCGAGCTTGGACTTGTCTTCAAGAATGAGTTCGGGGTAAAGAAATTCTTCAGATTGACTGAAGCCGTCAAGTATTCAACCAATACACTTGAGTGGTTTCAGAAGGTCATCAGAGAAAGATTTGGTAGATCTCATGTGCCAAGAGAATATGGGAATCAACTCATTCATGAGATATCAACAGTCATCGGCTATCGAAGACTGCTTCTGCGCTTCTGGGATATATCTCAAGGTAGATCATGATGAGTTGTAAATTTTTGCCTTAAAATGATGTCTTTTGTTTCCAGTACTGTAAGAATTCATCATCCAATGGAATTTTGGAATTTGATGTTTTTCTTTAGATTAGTCTCTGTTCTTCAATTCTGTTCATAGATTAGTTTATGTTCTTTCATTACTTAGGGGGAGATTGTTAGACCCCATAATCCATAAAGGGTAAAAGTAATGAAAAACAATAAGTGATGAAGAACCAGAAGATCGATGAAGACATCAAGGCAGAATTGACCATGTCTGGAGAACAACCAGAGGGTCGATGAACAACCAGAGATGTGATGGAAAGAGCATCTTCATCACCCCTCTGGTCAACAACACTTAGAGTTTTCTTCAGCAATTCAACCAGAGGCATATGATGAAGATATGAAGATAAGGTTGATTCATCATCCCATGAAAGACAGCTGGAGATGACAAGTC